ACAGACAGACAGACAGACAGACAGACAGACAGACAGACAGACAGACAGACAGACATATATAATGGACATAGGCATGTTTCTCTCCCTGTTAACATTTTTAAATTCAGTAGGCAAGCCGCAGTTGTTGTGGTAATTGACAGTTGGCTTGGGACGTGAAATTCCTTTCTCCACAGCAATGTTACTCCTGTGTCACACCATGTGTGGGCTCAGTAGTCTTCGATCCCTCAGAATTACGAAATGCTATCTGACATGTTTGGCCATTTTGATGGACTAAGACCATGGGGTCAGAAAACAAATTATGTTTTGTCTACTTTATCAAAATCGGAATCTTTATCGGGATAAATTTAAAAAATTGCATTCCGGAAAGCTGGACGTGTTGTAGAAATCAACTTTTTTCACGTCAAATTTATCAAAACTAGATCTAGGTACTTAGCAGATTGTAATTCTAGGGTAGCGCAGTGGTAAGGCTACCGGACTCGTAATCATGAGCTTGCAGTTTCTGGGCTTAGAGGCTCATGCGAGACGTTTTGTCCTTGGGAATACACTTAACGCGAAGGTAAAGTTCGGGATGGGAGGGTTGGGGGGGGGGGGTGGAAATGGGAGGGGTGCCTCCGTTTTAAAAACACAAATCTCTAACAAGTCTGAGCCAAGAAAATCGCCAAAGTCAAACAAGAAACAACAGAATGAGATAATGAAATAAAACATGCTAGAATCTATATTCGTTGTGTGTTGTATGAAAGTTTGTTTGTTGAATTTGTTGGGTTTTTTAAGAATCAACTCGTTAAGGTGGTAGCGAACACAAAATTAATTATGTCCAATCAGCAGAGGCATTGTTGTTCACATTTTGAACTAAAGTGCACCAATTAGAAAAATAAATTTGAATAGTGTATGCATGTGGTTGCCTGATATTGAAAAACAGAACTGAAAAATCTGTTTGAATAACGAAGTTTTGTTTCTTTTTTAACGTCTTGAAGGGCACAAAATGTGCGTTCTCTAGTATCAAAATTCAATGCCCCCGCCCCCTTTCCCCCCAACATAGAAACACACAAACACACAAACACACACACACACACACACACACACACACACAGACACACACACACGCACACACACACACAGACACACACATACAAACATACATTCACACACACACAGGCGTGCATGCATACACATGCACACACACACGCGTGCACGCATTGGACTAACACACGAAATAAAGTTATTCTTGCAGTATGATTGGCAATCACCAGCAATTATCCCTATGCCAACAGATGACCTCACAGCTATCACCAACGAATTATTCTCTGCCAACAAGTGACCTCACAGCTATCACCAACAATCATTTCTGACAACAAGTGACCTCACAGCTATCACTATCAATCATTCTCTGCCAACAGGCGACCTCACAGCAATCACCAACAATCAACTTTACAAACTTCAGTTAGAAACAGCAGCACCGAGACATTTGTTTTTGTTTATGCGTATATTTTATTAATAAAGAAGCAAATGGTTGCCTTACTTAGGCTCAATGTTTAAGACCAGCAATCGCACACTCGACCCGTCCACTTACAATCACGCACAGCCAGACGCATACACACCGAAACAAAATCACATGGCCCAGCTCATATGCAAATGAGCTGGGTGAGTTCATTATTCGGTGCTGCTGACCTAACGCCTATGATCTGCCAACAGGTGACCTCAAAGCAATCACCAACAATCATTCTATACCAACAGGTGACATCACAGCAATCACCAACAATCATTCTCTGCCAACAGGTGACAATCATTCTCTGTCAACATGGGACCTCACAGCAATCACCAACAATCATTCTCTGCCCTCAGGTGACCTCACAGCAATCACCAACAATCATTCTCTGCCAACAGGTGACCAGGCATCAATCACCAACAATCATTCTCTGCCCTCAGGTGACCTCTCAGCCTACCTGTCCCCCGCCGGCTCCAGTTCCCCGCTGCTCCAGTATGGCAGCCCGGCAGGGGACGCTGCGCTACCACTTACGTCATCGTCTCACCGGATTGATCTGCCCCTGAACTTGACCTATTTCGACTCTCACTCTGACACCATCTATGTAAGTCTTTTGTATATTTTTAAAAGTTTATCTTTATTTTTACTTTTTAAAATTTTGGTTTTATTTTATTTATCTCTGGGTTTGGAGTCTTTTTTTTTAGGTTGGGGTGGGGGGGGGGCAGTTTTTGTTGTTGTTTTTTTGTAAATGTTTCATGGCGCTCGCAACTGCACAAGGTCTTATTATAAGCGAGCGGGGCACTTGAAACATTTCCGTTTGGTAGGCATTAATTTTCAAATGTGCCCGGGTGGTGGCCGAAGCCTACCTTATTGATTTTAGGATCAACAAGGGATCTATAACTATACATGTGTATATCTATGTATCGGAGAAGGCTATGTAGTAGGTCTTGGTTGAAAGACAGCAGTAAGAATGGGCCAAGGAGTAGCTGTAGAAACAGAAAGAGTCAGGAGCCCAAAGGAATGGGAAAAGGGGACGGGGGTGGGGGTTGAAAGTGGAGACGAAAGAAGAGGACAGAACACGATTAGAGAGCAGAAAAGGAGGGGAAAGGAGAACATTTGTTAGTGAAGATAGTACGTCGCAATGAGGTTTCGAACCCGGGACCTAGTGGATGAGAGACGAACACCTTACTACAAGACCACAAGAGCCCCCCTTATGTAAGTCTGGAATACATATAGCTCTACCACTGTATATGTACGTTTACGCAGTCAATAATACATACATACATATATATATATATATATATATATATATATATATATATATATATATATATATATATATATATATATATGTATATGTGTGTGTGTGTGTGTGTGTGTGTGTGTGTGTGTGTGTGTGTGTGTGTGTGTGTGTGTGTGTGTGTGTGTGTGTGTGTGTGTGTGTGTGTGTGTGTGTGTGTACTATTACTATAATGATACATGCAATGATAATAATAAATATAATAAATAGCATTTGTATAGCGCAAATCCCCGCTCAACAGCAAGCTCTATGCACTTCACAATCTGTACTATTACCCCAGCAGACCTGAGAGCATTCTGAAACAACCTCAATTTCCTGGGAAGTAGACAATGCAAACAGCCATTTATAGGCGCTAAAACATTAACATACTAACAAGATCTTTCGCTGTCTATGGCCGGGTATCCATTTCCACCTGGGTGAAGTGAGGAAAATGCGTGTAAAGTGCCTTTCCCAAGGACACAACGTCGGGCCCGCGGCTCGAATCCCCGAACGCGCACCCTCACGATTACGAGTCCGGTAGCCTAACCACTAAGCCACTGATGACACATATTATTATACATTATGATACACTGGACCTTTAACTGACCCTAATTGCAGGTGAATAAGGATGGCTTCCTGAGTTTGGATTCTGCCCTCCCGTTCTACAACAGCAGCGGGTGGATAGAGAGGACAGTGGAGTCGGCTCAGGATAGGCCTATCATCGCACCGTTTTATTATGAGTGAGTGTACACTGGGTCATGATAGTGCTAGAATTATTTTACTATAAGTGAATAAGTCACACTAGATCATGATAGTGCCAGCATTACTTTACTAGAAGTGAATAAGTCACACTAGGTCTTGATAGTGCCAGCATTATTTTACTATAATGAACAAGTCACACTAGGTCTTGATAGTGACAGCATTGCTTTACTATGAGTGAGTGAGTCACTATAGGTCATGATCTCTCTTGCCCTTTTTAACTCCCAGTGGAGCACAGGTCATCAACAACATTACTCCAGCGAAACCTGTCCTGAGCATCCTTTTCTATCTGTTTCCATGATGTCCCCGCTTTTTCAATTTTCGCTTGTACCGCTCGCCTCCATGTCATCTTTGGTCTTTGGTCTTTGATAGTGGTCATGATAGTGCCAGCAATATTTTACTATGAGCGAGTGAGTCACTATAGGTCATGATAGTGCCAGCAATATTTTACTATAATGAATAAGTCACACTAGGTCATGATAGTGCCAGCAATATTTTACTGTAAGTGAATAAGTCACACTTGGTCATGATAGTGCCAGCAATATTTTACTATGAGTGAGTGAGTCACTATAGGTCATGATAGTACCAGCATTGTTTTACTATGAGTAAATAAGTCACACTAGGTCATGATAGGGCCAGCAATATTTTACTATGAGCGAGTGAGTGAGTCACACTCGAGAACCTGACATGACAGAACCACCTTGGTCACATTCGGTCATGATAGTGTCAACATTACGTCAAAGTAATTCACTATGAATGAGTTACACTGGATCAGGATTCGTTACGTCATTTTACTATGAGTTAGTTACACTGAAAAAGAATTATGTTCTGTTACGACATTTTACTGTGAATGAGTGCACATGATAATGATTTTATTAAATAGCCTACCATCATTTCGTCATTTTGTTATGCGTGAGCTACCCTCGATTAGGATAAGGAATACCACCAGAGGGCCCTAAGTATTTCAGCTATGAGTGGACGAAAACTTATAATGAGAGTAATATAATAATCTAGTTTACGTCAGTCATCTTAAAGGTACCATCAAACCTCCTCTAACGGCCAACTGTCCACGACACCTAGTCAGTGAAACCAGCAATCAAACCTCCTCTAACGGCCAACTGTCCACGACAAACAAGCTATCAAACCTCCTCTAACGGCCAACTGTCCACGACAAACAAGCTACCAAACCTCCTCTAACGGCCAACTGTCCACGACAAACAAGCTATCAAACCTCCTCTAACGGCCAAGTGTCCACGACAAACAAGCTATCAAACCTCCTCTAACGGTCAACTGTCCACGACAAACAAGCTATCAAACCTCCTCTAACGGCCAACTGTCCACGACAAACAAGCTATCAAACCTCCTCTAACGGCCAACTGTCCACGACAAACAAGCTATCAAACCTCCTCTAACGGCCAACTTACTGTCCACGACAAACAAGCTATCAAACCTCCTCTAACTGCCAACTGTCCACGACAAACAAGCTATCAAACCTCCTCTAACGGCCAACTTTCCACGACAAACAAGCTATCAAACCTCCTCTAATGGCCAACTGTCCACGACAAACAAGCTATCAAACCTCCTCTAACGGCCAACTGTCCACGACAAACAAGCTATCAAACCTCCTCTAACGGCCAACAGTGCCAAGTCAATGAATCAGTCAAACAAGCAGTCAAATAACCAAGAGTGCAACTGGTCTATCAACTATTCAGTCAATCAGTCAGTCAAACAATCAATCTATCAGTCAATCACTGTGATTACAGGAGTCCTGATCCTGCCCTTGCTGGAAATCGAACCCCTGGGAATGTGTTTGCTCGGCTCGTCACCCGAAGCTCCGCCTCTGACCAGTTCATGGATGGTAAGGAAACATAGCCACAACAAAGATTAATGATAGATAGATAGATGGATTATAATGGAAAGGACAATAGATAGATAGATAGATAGATAGATAGATAGATAGATAGATAGATAGATAGATATCGCAGCAATGTTTAGACTCATTTCATGTGCACTGTTAGCTTAGTTGTTGTTGTTCTTCTTCTTCTTCTTCTTCTTTTTCTTCTTCTTCTTCTTCTTCTTCTTCTTCTTCTTCTTCTTCTTCTTCTTCTTCTTCTTCTTCTTCTTCTTCTTCTTCTTCTTCTTCTTCTTCTTCTTCTTCTTCTAACGCTGGTTTCTCGTAAGAGTTTCCAAGTCTCTTTATTTTTATTTTTTTGCGCTGTTTTATCAGAGATCGACGTTAAATTAGGAGATGCAGCCTCTTAAATAATAATTTTATAGAGTTGAAAAGAGCGCTGAACCCATAACGTACTTGTACTAATATGTTAGGTCATTTTAGTTGTGTGGGTTTTTTTTTTTACAATTGTTTTCCTCTGTTGCCAGACCTTAGCGGTTATTTGATTCAGGCTGTGGTCAACGTTCCTTCTGACTTTTCTGCCAAAATGGTTGTCATAGCGACGTGGGTCAACGTGACGGACAGGCTACAGCTGTCGAGCGGATGTGACCTCACGAGCACATGCAAAGTACGTGAACTATTGCTTTTTTGTCTATGGCGGTTATCTTTTTAGCAAGTTGTCAAACATTTCGATACTTTCTTAATGGTTCTTTCTTTCTTTTATTGATTTTAAAAAATATAATGTTAATCATCATCATTTTAGTAGCTGTTTATTACACGGTTTTAATCTGATCCTTCTCATTAAGAGTAGACTACTGACATTTATTTTGTATATATAAATTGAAAGAAACAATTTTTAAAGAACAGTCCCTCAACTTCTATTTTTTAAACTTGGCAGAATGAGTTGCATAGTTCCCCGCGTCTCAACTCTCGGCAAGTACAATACGGACTGCATACTCGGTGCTTTCTATCTTTGTTTTATTTCCAAAGGAATCTGTTGTACTGAGTACTTTCGTATTTCTGCTGGGTAGTGGTGGGCAAAATCCGGATAACCGGATACTTCTCAGTGAAACATTATCCGAATTCAGACTCTTAAACTCTCTTTCCTGAACCGTTTGCCAAAGTGGGTGCACCTATATTTTGAAGTGGTTCTTCTAACCAATTTGCGGAAGCGGTTCATGACGCTTAATCGCAGAGAGGTGTATTAACATTATCCGGATTTTGCTAAAGCGACTCATTGCCCAGCCCTACTGCTGGCATGACCGAAGCTTTGTCAATGGGGATCTAAATTACTAACAGTCTTTTGGCTTCATTGTAGTCTCATTGTTTTGGCTTCATCTCCTCAGTCTTCAACCTTCCAAGCTGTTGTTGTGGCTGACGACAGCAACACCTTTGTCATATTTAACTACGAGAAGATGGAGATTCCTATCAGACAGTACTACCAGGTGGGCTCAGAACTTTCACTTTTGGCGTTGCAAGAGAGGTGGGGAGAGAGAGGGGGAGAGAGAAAGAGAGGGAGGGAGAGAGAGAGAGAGAGAGAGAGAGAGAGAGTGAGAGAGAGAGAGAGAGAGAAAGGGGGAGACAGGGGGAGACAGAGAGAGGGGAAGAGAGAGAGATAGAGAGAGATAGAGAGAGATAGAGAGAGAAGAAAAAAAAGAGAGAGAGAGAGAGAGAGAGAGAGAGAGAGAGAGAGAGAAAGAAAGAGAGAGAGGAGGGCGGAGGGAGAGAGGGAGGGGGGTCAGACTAACAGACAGACAGACAGACAGACAGACAGACAGACAGACAGACAGACAGACAGACAGACAGACAGACAGACAGACAGACAGACAGACAGACTGTTTACAGAGTGGTGGTGGTGTTTGAGCACACAAAACCTGAATGTAATGTCCTGTTGTCTTGTCCTGTGTATGTGGGAGTACATCTGACCATTGTAAACGACTGCCATTGTAAACGACCGAGACAATTTTTGGGGAGTTGAATAAAAGCTTTCCATTGTCATTGTCACAGTCATTGTCATTGTTACCAATGCCAATGTCATTTCCGTTTGAGGTTAGCGGGTGGTCTGTTGTGGTTTGCTTCCTATTACCTATCGAATTACTTTCGTCTTTATCTTTCCTCCTTTTTGTCTTTGTTACTCTCTTGTAACTCTTCGAATCTTCGGTAATATAACGACCCAATTGCGTTGCAAGTGCCTTAAAAGACATACTAAAAACAGAGATGGTTCGATTGTGTCTTGGGGTTGGGTTTTTGTTTGTTTGTTTGGTTGGTTGGTATTTTGGTTTGTTTTTCTAAAATGAAAATATCAGGATTATGAAACATGGTACATTAAATAATTACTTCGGCACGGCCTATAGTACAACATTTTGCTTTCACTTGAAAAAAGAGAGCTTGCAACGATAGCTCAATTACCACCATGCCTCGGCTACGGTGCAGATGAACCTGGTTCGATCCCAAGTGAGACATTCTTGAACTTGGGCAGTGTGTTGAGTTTTCAAGGCCCCCCACTCACTTGTTGGCTATAAGTTCTGTCAGAAATGCACGTTAAATTTGGAGGTCCCCCCCCCAAACCCCCTCTTGACCCTTTCACTGTATCTCCTGCAACTGTGTCAGACCCACCCCCCTGTCATACAACATACCCTAGTGGGTGGTTGGCGGGTGCTCTGGTGTGGTTTGCTCCTTCTTTCCTATAAAAAACATAGTCTTTATCTCTCCTCCTTCTTTTTTATGTTTGTTACTCTCTTGTAACACCTCTAATCTTCGGCATTTATATGACATTATTGTGTTCCAAGTGGCGTAAAAATTCTACTGAAACTTAAAAACAAAACAACGTACCCTCCCAGGCAGGTGTGAACGGCGGGTACCGGAGGGGCTGGACTAACGTGGTCCCGTGCCAGCATCGTTGCCCCGGCGACATGGACTACCAGTGGCTGTACAGCGCGCCAAGCCTTCAGGGCGCGGACGTCCGGGGGAGGTTTCTGCTGTCTGTGGGGGCGGAGCTGGTGGTCAGGGGGGGATGTCTGCCCGGTGCTTTCAGGACAGGTTGGTTGGTCTTTGGCTGGTGTTTTTGTTGGTGGTGGTGTTGCTGCTGCTGCTGCTGCTGCTGCTGCTGCTGCTGCTGCTGCTGCTGTTGCTGTTGCTGTTGTTGTTGTTGTTGTTGTTTTAATTGTTTTTGTTGTTGATTTTTAATGTTTGATGTTGTTCTGTTGTCGTTGTTTTGTTGTCGTTGTTTTGTTGTCGTTGTTGTTGTTGTTGTTGTTGTTGTTGTTGTTGCTGCTGTTTCTGCTGTTGCTGCTGCTGCTGTTGGTTGTTTGTGCTGTTGCTGTTGTTGTTGTTGTTGTTGTTGTTGTTGTTGTTGTTGTTGTTGTTGTTGTTGTTGTTGCTGTTTTGTTGTCTCATTGTTTTGTTTTGTTATTTTGTTGGATTTTTTGCGAGGGAAGGGGGTGGGAGGGGGTTGTTCTTAGTTGTTTTGTTGTGGTTTTAAGGGGATTTGTATTTTGTTCTCTGAAGTTACTTTTTTTTAAAAGACTCCTTAAGAAACGTGTAAGACAGTCTTTATGTTTTGTAAAACTTTCGACTAACCTTAAAGCTGATAGAACTGTTCACGGTTCATATCAAGACTCAGATTTTCCAGTGACCACAACTATAATATTACTCTTATTCCTTCCCTCTTCTTTATGAAGATAAAATTGATTTACTATCAGTTTTTTCTAGTTTTAGTAAGAGTTGTACGACACAATAAGTGCCGACGATTGGAGGTGTTATTAGAGAGTGGCAGAGATATATACAAAAAGAAAAATGTGAAGGAATAAGAACGATAGATGTTTGATAGGAAAGAAGGAGCAACCCATGCAAGAGCACCTTCCAATCTTCCACATTTTTTACTTATTCATTCATTCATTCATTCACTCATACATTCATTCATTCATTCATTCATTCATTCATTCATTCATTCATGGGTGGTTAGCTGCTGCTCTGATGTGGTTTTCTCCTTCTTTCCTATCAAACATCTCTGGCCTTATCTCCCCTCCTTCTTTTTTATGTTTGTTACTCTCTTGTAACACCTCTAATCTTCTGGCGCTCATATGACCGTATGCAGTTGCGAGCGCCGTAAAACCTCTACTAAAACAAAAAACAAAATTCATTCATTCTTCATTCATTCATTCATTCTTTCATTTCTCACCTCACAGGTCAGCTGATAGAAGTGTACCCCCAGAAGATCGGCATGTTCGGCGGAGAGAAGCTGGAGGTGTCGGGCCTGTGTTCCTCACCTGGCACACAAGTCACCTGTCGGTTCCGACCTCTGGACAATGCGTTCACCCCGCTGGTGACGCACGGGGAGATGAGGAACAGCATGCGCGGCTACTGCCCGGTGCCCATCCTCACATGGACGGGGGCCACTGTGGTCGAGTGGTCAGTGGATGGACGGGTGTCCAACCTGAGCAGGACCATCACTGCTGGTGAGTTGTGCTGATTGGAGACATGAGTTGTTTTGTTTTGTTTTGTTTGGGTTTTGAATGTACGTGTATCCCCCCCTTCCGCAAACACGGAGGAAATGGGGATGAAACCAAGCAAAGCAAAAAACAAGACTTACACATAGACATACTAACACACACATACACACACACACACACACACACACACACACACACACACACACACACACACACATACACACACACATATACACACACGCATGCATACACACACACATACACACAACAATTTAAAAAACCCAGTGTTTAATGGAAATGAACTGGAAAGATAAAATTCGAAGATTTCTGATTTTCAACCACTATGACGTTGTTAAGTCTCTTAAGTGACCATAGCTCAGACTCTGTCTGGGGCTCTCGTGGTCTAGAGATACATCGTTCGCCTCTTATTCAACTGGTACCATGTTTGAAACCTGAAAGCGAAGGGATATTTTTTTCTCTAAAGTTTTCTCCTTTCACCTCCTGTCCTATTTTCGTATCATGCCCTATCACCTGCTTTCATCTCAACTTTCTAACGCCACCCGGGCAAAATTCAAAATTAATTTCTATCAAAATGAAATTGCTTATTAAATTTAAGGTGTCCCACACATTCGTATGACCTTATTATGCTGTTGAAAGCGCCGTAAAACACTTATCAAACCATAAAGCATCTATCTTTAGCCGCTCCCCGTCTTTAACGGTCACCTTTCACCGAGATCTTGTGTACAGCAGATAGTAAAACGGACCGGGCTTCCTCAGGAACGTTCCGAATATAAATACCTCTCTATCCGTCAATCACTGCGATCTTGAGTGACAGTTAGGGAAAGGTTCGACTGCAGTTTACTTTTACCCAGTATTCTTCTCTCTGGTCGTCCATATCTAGTGCACCGGAGTCTGTGGTGTAGCGGTTAGGCACTTCGCTGTCTCACGCAGGAGACCCGAGTTTGATTACCGAGTGGGGGAAGATTTCTATCCAGTATATAGGTCTTTATACGGGGAAGTTCTATTCCTCTCAGCCTGGGTCTGTCTGCTGGGATGTTGTATCCCTCTCAGCCCGGGTCTGTCTGCTGGGATGTTGTATCCCTCTCAGCCCGGGTCTGTCTGCTGGGATGTTGTATCCCTCTCAGCCCGGGTCTGTCTGCTGGGATGTTGTATCCCTCTCAGCCCGGGTCTGTCTGCTGGGATGTTGTATCCCTCTCAGCCCGGGTCTGTCTGCTGGGATGTTGTATCCCTCTCAGCCCGGGTCTGTCTGCTGGGATGTTGTATCCCTCTCAGCCCGGGTCTGTCTGCTGGGATGTTGTATCCCTCTCAGCCCGGGTCTGTCTGCTGGGATGTTGTATCCCTCTCAGCCCGGGTCTGTCTGCTGGGATGTTGTATCCCTCTCAGCCCGGGTCTGTCTGCTGGGATGTTGTATCCCTCTCAGCCCGGGTCTGTCTGCTGGGATGTTGTATCCCTCTCAGCCCGGGTCTGTCTGCTGGGATGTTGTATCCCTCTCAGCCCGGGTTGGCCCTGACGGACAGGGTCGGAAGTCCGGCTCCTACGTAGTCTAAACTGAGTCGATGGGGATGTAAAAAATATATTTTAAGAGAATAAATTCCTATCCCCCCCCCCCCTTCAGTGCTCCCTGACCGCATGGAGAAGAACGTGCAGTTCACGCGGGACCTGTACCTGCAGTGGTTCACACGGAACGCTTCCAGCATCACCGTGGAATGGAACCCCAGCGGTCTGTCTCTCGATCCTAGCGCGCAGGTCAATATCAAACTGATCGGGTACAGAGAGGATGAGGCCAATAACCGGGTGAGTGGATGTCTGTCTGTCTGTCTGTCTGTCTGTCTGTCTGTCTGTCTGTCTGTCTGTCTGTCTGTCTGTCTGTCTGTCTGTCTGTCTGTCGATATTTATTGTCTATCGATCTGTTGATGTACATACGTACATGTATTAACATGTATTGCTATGTCCGCCATTAGAACAAC